CAGCCACTAGCGTGATGAAGATAGGAATGCCTAGAAACATGAAGGCAGGTGTGATCTTGGGAAGGGGGATGATTTGTCGACTCCTTGTGGCTTGGTGATTCAGTACATAACTCGGCATCTCAGTTTCTTTAAAACATGAATTTCGCAGCTGTACCTATAAAAGAAAGGAGATGATAATTGATAAAAGAAAAAGGGACTACATAATCATAGTTAAGACGGATCCAGAGCAGAATATTCACCTCTTCGTTTGTTCTGTCTTTAAAATGTTCTACAGAATCAGCTTCAAGGGAATCACAGCCGTGTGCATTGAGAAACTGAAGACTCAGAGGGAGTTTTTCCACGGATTTGAGTTTCTTGCAGTTATTGAGGCAAAGAGTTACCAATGAGGTAAGATCTCTGATGCTTGATGGCAATGTCTCAAAATCATGGCTGCTGAGATCTAAATATGTCAACTTATTGAAATGACTAAGCTGATCTGACAATGACTCAACATTGTTGCAGTTTTCAAGGCAAAGCTCAAGCAAACAGTATTTTCCCTGATCTTGACTTATGTCAGATAGTTTCACCAATGATCTGAGGTTCCAACAGTTGGTAAGTATCAGTGTCTTCACCTGAGTTAGCTTTGGCAACTCCTCGAGCTTGAAGCAGTTTCGAAGCCAGAGAGTTTTCAACCGGGAAAGGCTATTTATAGCTTCTGGTAAGTTCTCGAAATCATTTCCGCTGAGGTCCAGCTTCTCTAGGAACTCCAAGTGACAAATCCCAGATGGGATTTTCCGGATGTTCAAGTTCACCAGTTTTAGCTCTTTCAGGTCAGGAAAATCTGGAAAGCTACCAAAAGAGAAAGATTCGCCGTTTTCTTTGTGGCTGAACCTCATGATACTGAGGGAGTTGAATCTGTTGCACTCTGAGATGAGCCAAGGTGCTTTCTGCAGACTCATTGTCGATGTAAGTGGGATCTGTTGCTCAGAATTAAAAGAGACGTAGTCAGCATTTCCTCTAAATTTTGAACAAAACTCAAAACTTATATCTCCCCCAATCGATATGTTTATAAGTGCATCCATTTTCACTTTTGCGTCTGGGAACTCCAATCCAATATGTTGCTGCCTTGTAGATCTCCATATAAAAAACCGCAGAGCACTTCTCAGCCCTCCACAGTAGGATAGTTTAAGCTTCTTTAGGCTAGACCTTTTTCCAAAACACTCTGGAATGCGCTCCAGACTCGTGCAGTGTTCCAGAACCAATTCCTCAAGACTCGTGATACTTGAAAGATCTGGAAGTTGCTTTAGGTACTTAGATCCTGTCACATCTAGTCTCCTCAAACTCTTCAACATCTAACCAAAGATACAATAACAAAAGAAAATGGTTGGAAGGATTCCTGGCTTTCGCATCATTGCTCTAGCAAAAACAGAAACAAAATCTTCAGATTACCTACCGGTGTTCCACTCCAGAGCGTTTCTAAATCACTGTGACGCAGATTGAGTTCAACAAGAAAGCATGGATCAGAACCAGAAGGCAGGGTTCTCAATGGAAATGCATCCCAGTGGAATAACCGTAGGCTACGAGGCAAGAGATGTTGGTCTGGAATGAGTTCCAGCTTCGACTCTCTGTAATCCACATGCTTGTAGACCTTGAGAAACTTGAGATTATGCATACGGCCAACGACACTGGCCTTCATGGACAACGCACAGGTCATCTCACACGTGTGTAGGCACATGGATTCAGTTTGTTCTCCTCCCTGATCATATGAAGACAGAAAAAACACATAGCCAGAAACCTGTCAGGTTAGGCTGCAGGAAAACAAAAAGAATTCGATCAAAGAATCGTGTAGATGCTTACGTCTCTGAAAGCCAGCGCATCGCGAATTTCCTTAGGATCCCTGAGGAACTTTCGAGCCAAAGACATGTCGTCACGGATAACTTCTCTTCCCATTTGTTCTACCGACTTATGCATGATTACAGATCCATTAGTTGATATTTTGATGAGAGATTTCTCTGCTAAAACTCTTATCCACAGGCTGCTGTGAGGTATGGGGCCATGAAGAAGAGAAGTGATACGCTGGAGAGCGTCTCCATTGAAGAGACATGCAACATGAAGGAATACATTCTGATGTGGTTTTGGTAAGCCCTCGTAGCTAGTTTTCAAGATTTCCATTATATTCTCATCAAGACTGCTTTCAAGTGCACCTAATGCTTCTTCCCACTCCTGAGGAGTCATTGTCCTTCCACGGAGAAACAAAGCATAGGCTTGAATAGCAGAAGGAAGCCCGTGAGCAAGCCGAGAAGCTCGGATTGAGAGTTGTTCGAAACCATCAGGAGGAGGAAGTCTTCCTCCTTCAAAAGCAATCTGTTTAAACATTTGAGAGGCATCCTTATCATCCAAGCACTTAACCTCATAAACGGTTTCCACTCCACAGGTATTGAGCAAGCCCATGTCTCGAGTTGTTATGATGATTCGGCTCCCAGGACCAAACCAGTTTTTCTCTTTTGCCAAGGCATGCACTTGTGCCACTTTATCCACACCATCAAGCACAAGAAAAACCTTTTGATGCCCAAGTCTCTTCTTTATCTCTTGACATCCAGCTTCCACGCTCCATAACCTAATATCATCACAGAGGATACTGGAGAGCAATTCTTTTTGCAAATGCTTTAGATCATTGTCATGGTCTTTACTAACACTCTTAATGTTTTCTGTGAAGCAACGAGCTGGGAATTTAGGAGAGAGCTGGTCATAGAGACACTTGGCAATGGTGGTTTTCCCAATTCCACCCATTCCCCATATTCCTGTCATGAGTACCTCATTGGATTCCAGATCCAAGAGATGTTCAAGACTTTCCATGTGAGACTTCATCCCAACAATATTTCCAGAGTCTATCTTATGCATCAATGTCACACGTCTTGAAATATCTCTGGCGATTTCTCCAACCATTATAGCCTCATCAACGCTAAAAATTGAAAATGAACATTGCTCCAATTTAAAAACTTCCAATTCTTACATGAATGAGATTTGTGTAAAGAGCTTACCAGTGTCTTGAATCGACGCCTGAAAGATTGGCGATTAGGTTAAGAGCTTCTCTCCACCTGTGAACCTTATCCGCCATTTTTGGACCTTGGTACCTTTCTAAGGCGAAACTTCCTAGCTGATGCCTCACGACGGAAGGATCTACTCCATAGAAGACCGGAATGACTTCAAGTCTTCCTTCCTTCATAAACTCCATTATCAATTGAAGCTCCATTAAACACCACCTCGAAGTAGCGTAGTTCTCGGAGAGAACCACAAGGGCGAAACTCGAGCCATTTAAGGCTCTACGGAGTTCATCGGAAATGTGATCGCCTTTCTCAAGCCTTTTGTCGTCTTTGAAGGTAACAATTCCTCTGCTTTCAAGTGCTGCGTATAAATGACTGGCAATGGTTTTGCGGGTGTCCTCTCCTCGGAAGCTGAGGAAAACATCGTACTTGGATACACCAAGTGCAGAGGAGGACGCCATTGTTGAAAATTACTCTCCTTTCATCTCTTTTTTATAGTGGACAAGAAGAAAAAGTCTTCTCCTTTAGTTTAACTAACAGTCACAG